CATTATTATGATCAAAATTTATTATTGTCCTTAAAGAATTTGATTGGTTTGAAAATACAATTGTACAGGATTTAATTTGATAAAAATGGCAGAAAAGAAATTATAAGCAGGATTTTTTCATAAGCAAGTAGGATACTGCACATGATAAACTTGATTGATAATTTCAAGTAAAATCTGTGAGGATATGATTTGTGAAAAAATTAGTGTAGATTAAACGTTTTAAAAAAATTCTTTTTGACCTACATATTGTGTGAATTTCTTTGTTCTAGAACTTAAATCGTAAAAAAAAAAAAAAAAAAAAAAAAGGCCTTTTTTTAAACGAATTTCAAAGTATTTAAAAGTTACGGAAAAATGGAAACTTAACAGTTAATAATAGAAGATAATATCAATGTAAACAGAACAATCATATGTTAAATACATGCGTATAAATAGTTATTTAAGAGAAAGTCTTAACATTATTTATAAACGGAATAAAACTTGTTAATCATCTTCAAATAGAAATTGATTTCATCATTTGAAGTAGTTTCAAAGTTTTTTTTTGAACAATTTTATCAAACACAAAGTTTATAAATATTGTTTTTCGATCTACGCAAGTCTTATGCATGTGATTCGATTGTTTAACAACATAATAATACTTAAATGTACAATATCAATTCTTTAAGGACAATAATAAATTTTGATCATAATAATGATCATAATGACGATTAGATAGTAATTAGTTAGGAATTTCTATATCGTTGACGTTATTTATGCTTGGAGGAGTATCAGTATGAAATGAATCAAGTTTTCAATAGAGCTTTAACAAAATATTTCAAACCTTTTGTTATTGCTTTTGACAAGCAAAGTATATAAGAAGGCATCTCATTTACGGTCAGAACAAAATCTCAGAAAATACAAAATTATTAAAATCAAAAATTATTCAAAAAGATTGATTAGAATATTTGATATTTGATATTTGATATATTATTAAATCTTAAGATCAAACTTCATCATTAGAAAAATGTCCACCAAATCATTATCGCATGTACAAACCATTCCTGATCTTCAGTCCTCCTCCACAATCACAAATAATTGTCATAAATCAACTAGTAACATTCCTGACAATTATGCTCTCCACTATCTTCGTTCTATTGGTCACGAACAGTTTAATAACAAAGAAACAGCGACAGTAGAACTTCAACTGAAAGGTTTTCCTAATGATCCATTTTACATTCATCGAGAATATTTGGTAATTCAGTCAACCTTCTTTCGTGATTTATTCAAGAATTTGAAACAAGGTGATTTAGTGATTATCGAAGTTCCTTCTCCTGAGACTTTTAGTGATGTATTAGAATGGTTATATACTGGAAATAGTGATAAATTTTATGATGCTATGACTGAATATAATTGGCATGAGATCTGGGAAAATGTTGAATTTCTTGGATTAGGTGTTGAAGCAAAAACTGTTTGTATGGCTTTTTATCAGGAGGTGATCGATGTTTAATCAATAGTAGTTGATCGATATATTAATCGATGTTAGTTGATTTTTATGTTGACGTAAGAATTGGCATCATCTCTACGTATTCGATGTATTCGATTTTTTTTTCGTTTATCGTTGAACATTATTTGGCATTTTCTTTTTCGGAACAAATTGGCAAAATCTCGAACATTTCTTTTATATTAGTTCGTAATTTAACATTTGAATAAAATTCGTTTATAATTTCAATCGCATATTTTTTCATATCATCGTTATCATAACAGATAATAAAACTCAAAAGATATAATTACATATGATTTCATACCATTCAGGCTTATCTACTGGATAATAATTTAAATATAACAATTTTTACTTATTTATTAAACAATTTTCAATTCATTAAGCATTAAACAATTTTTATTCATTAAAATTCTTATTTATGGCTTTATCATTACTGTCGATGTGAATGAGTTTTCAATTACCGTTTTTTTTACAATTGTAAATGACTTTATTTATAATTCACGATTATTGTAATTCACGATTATTGTAATTCACGATTATTGTAATTCACGATTATTGTAATTCACGATTATTGTAATTCACGATTATTGTAATTCAAGGTTATTGTAACTCAAGGTTATTGCTGGCTTCATCTCAATCTGTTGGCACAATCCTTCATGTATTAATACTTGAGTTTCATTATTTTTCATGATTGTCTTTTATTAATTCTATCACCATTACCTATTTTTAGCTTCTTTCGTAAAATCCAGCAATTTCATGATTTACTAATTATTTGAGTTCAAGAATCATGAGTATATACTTAAACATATTCAATTACACATATGCATGAGAATGTTACTAATAAAATATAATTTATAAGAAATCAAAATCTATGTTTACTTTCAATTGTAGATGAATATCGTTTGACATCTATTAATTATCAATTTTATGTGTTTGATATTTAAATTTTCTATAATAAAGAAGTCTGTTACTCTGATATCAATTTGTTGAAATCTATAATGACATTAGAATGTTATTGCTAATATAGTAAGATTAATGAATAAGCACCCTTTTTTTTTTTGATAATTTCAGGATGAGCTTTTATTCATAAGGATACGGTAAATCTAAAACAAATAATTGAACAAACTTCACTTGCAAATCCTGATATTTATTATATAATGTCTCGATATTAATAATCTCTCTTAAACCAAACCAAGTGTTTTTTAAACATGTTACAAGTGACTTATTATTCTATGCGTTGTTAATTTGTCATTAGAGAAAGTAAATCTAGATCAAATTCACTAATTTACTGAATTGTAACTTGCAAAAAGAAACATATTCGAAAAAAAAAACTTGCTCAGATCTATTATATCTTATTTCAATTTAGCCTTATCTTTATCCGCATATCGATTCGCTTTAAAATCTTCATGCCATCTTGAAGCTAGTTCGTACTCAATTTCATCGGTTTGTTTAGATTGTTGAGATAACCATTCAGCACGATCATTATCAAAAAGTGAATTGTATTCATTGACTTTAGAATCAATTAAAACCTTCCAATAGGTTTTGGTACCATTTTTAATCTTTGTGTATGGAATGAATTTAAGGATTTTGCATGCTGCAGGATCGGAACAGAATAATTGAAATCCTCTTTTTAATAAATATATATTAAAATTAATAAAAATTTGTTCAGTCGTTCAAGACAAATTCCAAATTTCTATGACAGTTAACTTACGTGATAGTTCGTATTTTAAAACATGATATACATGCACGAACACCAATATCCCAATAAATCTTTGATGTTCTACTTTTCTTACCACAAAATAAACATTTTTCTTCAACCAAGAGTCTAATATAATCTCGTTCATTCGTTCCTTTTGGTGGTCCTAAAGTCCTATACGGCATGAATTTAAGTCTTGATTGTTGCCAAATTTTCTGAACTGTTGATGATGATTCACCGATACTAAGGTCATTATAAAATTGTTTACAAACTTTTGAAAGTGAAAGAAGGTCCACTGGTGAAAGGTATGTACATATGTGAAGAAAAGTTTCGGGTGCAAGTGATAGAAAGTATGAGCGACGTAGCTTTTGACGACTTTTAGTACGAAGTATCATATTACGTAAAAAATTTTTTTTTGTTTTACAAATATGAAAAATTAATACCGTAGTATGTTTACATCAACGATTAACGTTGGCTATCAAAAAACCCTCTTTTATAAGATCAAGTTGTGTAACATAGTAGAGTGTACGTATTTGCACGCGACAAAGAAGGTTCAAATTGCTTGACGTTAATACTTTTAAGAATGATGTTAACTTCTAGAGCTATAAACATACGTAAGGAAACTGATAAAGCAATTTAAGATAAACATTGCTTACAAATCTCCACGAGAATATTCATTTTTTAAAAACAAAGGTCATATTAACATCATATTTTTATCGTCATCGTATAATGATGTTACGTATTTTGTTAAATCAGTATCAGTATAATGGTGGCAAAAATAACGTCGTGTTAGTTGAGTTTTTTTAAAAAAATTGCAAATTAAATGAGTCACTGACATAATTTTTACAAAGCAAGAACTTCCCAGCTTGATCGGCATAACGTCCTGATATTTTTTCCTGCAATCAGTGATATATATTAACAAACAAATATAATTATTTTATGTATTCCAATGAAAGTTAATTATTAATCGTAACTCTCGGCATTTTACAATACTAAAAAGTAAGGTGTAGTTTACTTGAATTAACTTATACTTTAGATAAATTAAGTTTATCTATACTTACTGTGTTATAGGCTGATAATTCAACTGGTTTTCCGAAAGCGTTAGGACGTTACTAGTTGTTTTTTTTTACTAGACTAGTAAAAATCGATGATACATACGTAATTGTCTCATTTAATAATTTAAGAATCAAATTTTTTTTAATAGGTCTCAACGTATGGCATTTTAATTTTTCGTCCCTCAAGTCCCATCACTATTAGACTGCAAAAAAATTTCCTTTTTATCGTTTTATTATTATTTTGTTCTCGATTAATGACAACCGTTTCTGGCTTGAGAAATATATTAACAAATTGAATCGACCGTGGCATTGTCAATCTTGATACGTATGTTGAAAAAAATCCTAGTTGGCCTGGATAATATATTATTGTTATTGCCGCGAAGCGGCAATAACAATAACATATTCACGCCCTTTGCGTTGACTTTTTTTTTTTTTCAGGAAAATTTTTAAACACCGTATATTATCGAAGCAACCAAAATGTTGTAAATTTTTTCGAGTCAAAGTGAAGGGGGTGCTTATATAATTTTATTAGTGAAGCATAACCTTCAGCTCCAAAATCTGGTTGCATATTTGGTAATATACGGTATACTGTACAGTATTTAAACTTTAAGATCTTTGTCCGGAATATGTGACAATAGTCTTATAGAGATGGTTCAAGAACATGGCTCGTCAGGACGACAGAATCTAGAAATAATACTCCCCTGAATGTAATATTCATGTGCTTCGGGAATGTTACACATTAAACTCTACCGATAATCTATTTACGAAAATTCTTTACCGATAATCTATTTACGTAGTTATTCTCCATCGCTGCTCTAGATAAAAATTCATATAGCTTTTCATGCTCGATACTATCTTTATCGAATTTTTTGAGTATTCCTCTTTAATTTGCTTCCAAATGTGTTAATATTTTATCAAAAATTTTTTTGCTTTATAATAAATCTGGTAAACGGACATTT